AGAGAGAGAGAGAGAGAGAGAGAGAAAGAGAAGCAACAAGGCATGCTGATTAAGTCGGCTCAATTATCCGTCGATTCTTGGTGTCGCGGGATCCTTTTTTTTTTTTTTTTTTTTTTTTTTTTAAAGTAGAAAGTTTCGGCCGGACGGGCGAATCTATCGGCTTTAGGAAAGTTGGCTGGCGGTGGCTCTGGCCGGAGTCGGAGGCCAGGCAACGGTGAAGCAGAAACGTCGACGCGGAACGGGTCCTCTCGTCGCCTAATTGAATGGCATTTTATTTAGCACAGTTCCCCGCACTCTGGATAGCCGCCATTTACCTCAATTACGTAATTCACCGTACACAACCGACCGCGGCAGCTACCCACCATGGCAGCATTGCATGGTGATGGCCATACCGATCCATGATAGTGGTGGTGGTGGTGGTTGCTTGTGTTAGTGGTGGTGGTGGCGGTGGTGGTGCTGGTGGTGGTCAACTGATGACACGTGTTTGCGCTACCACCGCCGTGCAATTAGCCCCCCAATGTAATTTCGCGCTGTAAGAGCGTGCCACGCTCTTTTGGCCTAGTACCGTACCTGAGGGCGCATCGGTACCCTCGTATTACCAAGAGGGAAGTGATTTTCTCCGAGAGACGTAGAAAAATTCGATTTTAAGTACTCCGGCACCGCCGGCACTTCGATGGTTATTTTTGCATCCGGTTATAACCACCGATCGATGAAACGGATCCTTTAAACGAACACTGGTTATCCTCGAGCCTTTGACCTACTGGTTAAAAATCCTCCTTCAACGTCATTTACTCCGTTTTGCTCCTGCTAAAGAGGGCATGCAGATGCCGTGGGTGTGGCCGTTTACGATCCGAAGATTTTTCTAAATCGTTTGTCCGAAAATACGATTATTTCTTTTATTACGATGAACATTTTTATCTGATTTAACGTCGTAATTTATTACGATTGTATTAAAAAAGACAAAGTAAAATATAAAATACAAAGGAATGTATGATTTAACAAATCCATCCTCTCTTTCCCTCCATCGTCGATACACACGTAAGTTACATGCACGTTGTTTACGTGGAAATCGGTTCTCCCATAGTTTTCCATCTCGATTGGTTATTGTGCAATTAATCTCGCCGTTGTCCAGGCAACCGCATCAGGAATAAATATTCGTGTAATTGAAGCATCGAGTAGGTGTGCGCCGCTGGGACGTGATGCAATGTTAATGAACGGGATATTATCCGCCAACTAGTATCATTGCTAGGATGATACACGCTGCAGAGCCGGTAATTGTGCTGCCCAGCGATGCTGATTAGGTGTAATTATCATTCGGCCGAAGAAATGTCCTCGTGTTAGCTGTCATGGCAACACTACATCCATCAGGCATTCTGCTCCCGATTCTGCCACCTCGTTCTTTCTTTCTTTCTTTCTTTCTTTCTTTCTTTTTTTCTTTCTCGTTTTCTTCCTCCATCTCGCTACGGTGGGTCCAGATAATCGCGTCGCACTCGATCGTGATTAAATCTTCTTGTGCATAATTAAATATTACCATCGGTTGATTACGCGGTTGGCCAAGCTCGCCAGAGTCATCCGTAGCCTAGAAGTTTACCTTAGCGAACAATGGCTCCTTGGAAACGCAAGAGAGAGAGAGAGAGAGAGAGAGAGAGAAATTGCCGACGGGGGAGGATGAAAAAAATAACGTCAATTCTGGGAAGACGATTAGGAACGATCAGATAAGAGGACTGATTGGCGAGGAACGTGTCGTTTCCCAGCCGGCTCGAAGACTTTCGACATAATTAGACGTTTGCTGTCGCCCTGATTTTGTCTCGAGCTTTGATCTCGCCCCGTAACCGGAGCCAATGACGCGCGTCCCATCTGCAATCGCGTAACACTATGGTCGTTCGATGGACATTTCGAGAGATCGCGTCTGATAAAATATCGGGATTCGCGCGATAAAATGCAAGCCAGTGATTTATGACAGCATTCCCGAACGTGTGAAAAAGTTACGGAATATCTACGGTAAAAGCTCGATTGTTCCGAGTAATGCATTGTCACGTGCAATCACTTTGTTTTCATACATGACAAAAAAAAAAAACAACCTTTATTCTGAAGTATTTCATAAATAGTGATGTTAAACAGGAAGAAAAGAATATGAATTACGAGCAAAGATATCTAAATTAGAACATGATTTGTAGATAGAAACAGCTATCTACTTCCAAACGACTTGGACAAACTCGCCTGGAGTTTCTCGGCGGTCGTGAAATTGCAGGCGAAGGAAGATTGTTTTTTGATTTGCATAGGAATTAATTGAGCGGACAGAAGAGAGAGACAAAGGTTGTTCGTAGACGAGCAACTAAGCTTCGGATTATTCGCGAACGAGATCTGATACTTTTCCGCGCCTTATTCTGTCTGCCGTGCCTGCATTCGCACAGATACGATCAGCAAAAAAACTTGGCGCGTTACGAAATTTGCTCGCTGGTTGAATCTTTTTTCTTTTTTCTCTTTCTCTTCATTGCGTCCGTGTTACCAGCCTCTGCATAGCCGGCGCGAAATTATTCCGATAAAAAATTCTATTACCTATAATGCGACCGCCGCGGGCAGATTAGCATCTTTCGAGGAAAATTTAGGTCACAGGGCTCGACGAGTTGTTCCCATGCCTTTTTACACTGTAATTTTCAACGTTCACGGTTCTAACCATTTCGAAAATTTAGAAAAATGTCAGACAAACGGAAAGAGTGATCTCTGGAAGGTGAAACAATTTTTTACAACAGTTTTTTTTATAACATTAATTTAGGTATACTAGGTAATGGATTCGAGGAAACTTTGCACGTGAGCGATCTTAATGAAAAATTAGCGTCGAATCGGACGGAAGACATCCCTTGAAAAATCGAGCCGAATAATTAGCAATCGACTTGCGTGTACATGAGAACGAGAAAACGTGTCGTTCGAGGTGCTCCACCTCCAACACCGGTCCACTCCTTTCGCGATGGGTTAGTGGGCGGAGCCAAGGACGTCTGTTGCCAAACTGTCACGTTGACGTTAACGTTCGATTGTCGTTTACTGCGTTGTATTTTTGCGATTCTTCTTGTCGTCTGGACGCGATGACAGAGGCCAGAAAATCAAAAAAACAAAAACGATAAAAAGTGAATTACACCAATTACTCTAGTTTTGGACATAAATAATTTTTCTAACTGATTTGACCAAATCCTGTCATTATACGGCATAATTGTAAAATAGAAATCACCAAAAGTGCAGAAAAATTGCAGTTGCAGAGGCTTCACTCCGATTCTAACATACTCCAATTCGAAGCAACGGAACAAAAAGCTACGTGCGATCTTTCGACAGGGGAAATTCACTCGCGTCCCAGATGTCAGAATCACCCTCAACCCCCGATTTCCGTCGAATTGGCGGTCGATAGGGGAACGAGGAAGTCTCTGGCCGACGCGGCGGCCCGAAACTCCGCGCTCCATGCATACAAGCGTTGCTGGTCGGGCCTAGTGTCTCTGGCTTTCTTTGCCGGAGCTTGCTATACCCCCGACGGAGTCTGTCCGGAGTAGTGGCAGCGTAGTACGCGCACGACGAACGAAAAGGATCCCCGGACAGGTAGAGAAAACACCTCCACGAACGAAGTTGCCCCGAGGGTGTCAGCGGACGGCGGGCGTGGCCGGGTTTCGTCACCGCCCACGCGGACACCATAATGGCCTCCGTGCAGCCAATCGATCGCCAAGACGTCACTGTCACGAAGTGGGGGAATAGTGAATCGGCCAATCGTGCGGCCCGTTAACGGCCAGCGTGGGCGTGGCCTTGAGTGGCGCCACGACGGCAACTTTCGGAAACCGTGCACCGGGCTCCGGGGAGAGGCTCCGGCTTCATTATGTATCATTATACCGGTCCGCGCCGCGCGGTGTGCACTGCAGTTACTGGGCCAGGCGCGCGTGTGTGCTTTTCTCTCTTCGT